CAGACCTTCCCAGCAACCTTCTGTATATCAAATTTACTCACATCTTTTGCTGCATGCATTTGGTCAATGCAGTCTTCAATGTTAGGCAATAAAAAATAATCATATGCAGTCACTGCATTTATTTTCTAAAAATTTGTAGACAAAAAATGTTTGAATTCGAGTTTTTGAAAAAAATCTGTGACTTTTTCTGTGCATCCGTAGTCATGGAATATGAGTGAAAATCTGTGTAATGTACAACCACTGAGTAAGACTTGACACACTGTAATAAAAGATTTTGGTGAGCTGTAAATACAACCCATTCAAATTATTTTAAATTACCTTAAAATATTAGGCATCAATAAAATTATAAAATAATGTGTAAATTCTACCAAACCACCCATTTTTGGACAGTAACAACAGCAACATAACAAAATAATCTAAAATCTACCCAAAGATTTTAGGTCACACTGTCGCAGTGTGTGCATGTGCCAGAAAATTTGTGCATGCATAAGTAGTCTGGCGTTCAAACTGGTTTCTACACAGGAAGTTAATCACCAACCTACTGAATGAGCGGAGCCTTCGCATCAAACGTAAGTAAAACTACTATTTAAAACAATTATTTTTGTGTCTGCAATGCAAATGTTGACTGTTTTCATGGTTCATAAGAGTTGCCAGTGTGCTTTATGTAATGCACAATGTATGCATTTGAAGCAGAAAGTTTGAATCAGTGACGGTGGCTTCTTTTAAATTTATTTTTTTGGCTGTTTGAATCATTAAACTAAGCAGGGATAAATCATTGGTAGAGCTAACAACATCATTGTAAAACAGTCATCAAATGGATTTTGTAGCACATTGATTAGTGTTGTATTTAACGCCAAATATTTACTGGCGTCACATCTTCACTCTAACTGTTTAGGGTGTCGTGGCCGAAATCACCATCAGGTGACAGTACATATTCCCTATGTTACTGTGTTTTGCCAGTTTTTTGATGATAGAAGATGCTCTGTAATGATGTGACACAAAATAGTCTCATGGGGGAGGGGGGGAAATCGCCATAAGTAAGCTTCACCTGTATCACAGGACTGCTGGCAGTTTATGTGCATTATGTGCAAGTTTATGTTTGCTAATGCTGCTTCTGTCTCTACAGGTAAACAGCAAGTTCCATATTTGGACCCTTCTTCAAGCTGTCAGCAGAGGTAAAACGAGTACTGAAACTGTAACTGTTACATCCATCCATCCATCCCTTTTCTTCCGCCTATCCGGGGTCGGGTCGCGGGGGCAGCAGCTTCAGAAGGGAGGCCCAGACCTCCCTCTCCCCAGCCACTTCTTCCAGCTCTTCCAGGGTAACGCCAAGGCATTCCCACGC